ATCACCTGTGTAGCTACGGTTTGCCCTAGAAAGTATGCAAGTGATAGATTTAATCCTTTAGTATCATTACCATGGATTTAGACAAGAGCACTCAGTAGACATGTATTCCCACCCTTTCTAGGACAGGAAGAATCACGCTTTAATCACCTGCCATTATAGGAAGGCAAACAGTTGCGTTTGCCTATGTTGGGTTACCTGCATTACTTATTTTTCAAAGCATGTTGTAAGTTCTCATTTCAACTAAAGCTACTTATGTATGCTCACTGGCCAGCGAAGGACTGAAAGACTAACTCCACCTCTCTGTCTCCTCTGCAGTCAACTCATACTCTGAAGAAAAATCTCTGGACCTAGAAGGTGCACAGCTTAAACCACAGCTTAAATCACAGAGGAAATATTTCTTCTTTACTGGGTATTATTTCTTCTCAGTGAAGAATAGGCTAGATTCAGACCCAAGGGATTCAGTGTAGATCACATATTCAGACTAAGTACCATCAATGACAAATGCAGAGGAAGAATATGGGAGGCTCTCCTCATTAATTTCATTACCTTGACATTTGGCATTTGATATTATGACAGCTTATATTTTGAAATACCCTTCAGTCCTATTACTCCCTGGGAGCAACAGCCCTATCTTAAGGGCCATTTAAAGAAATATGGAATAGGAATACTTAGAAGCCATGTTACTCTGCCCTTGTGGTTTGTGCAGATACAGAGTAAGTATTCACTGGCTCTGCAGTGAGGAAAGGAACAGACAGGTCTCACTTTGTGCATCCGTGTGGATAAGGAAAGATGAAGTGAACCGCCAGAACTATAATTTCCTGCATTCTGTTTCCTAAGTCCCTGTAGAAGGAAGTGGTTTAAACAGAACAGGTTCTCCTCTCTAAGTTTTAATGAATACTAACTCATCAGGCTATAATAACATTTGCGACTCATCACAACTGACTTCAGTACCGTTAAAAATAACGGTTGTATTTATGGCCCTTGTAGGGCTTCATCTACTCTTTATGCAGAGCAAGTTCATTACAGTACAGTCAGCAGGGGGCATTCAGTGTGCCACTTCAAACAGGCAACAGCCAGCAATAAAATGTGTACTGAGATCCTGTGAAAGTCGCGGGCTACTTCATAGGTTTTGAGACAAAATTATTATCTACTGCTTATGGGCCTCACTGTGTACAAAGCATATGAAAATAACAGTATTTTCCACTCTTGCAGAGCCTTTGCACTTTACAAACCCTCATAAATTAAGTCTCACTATGGGAGGAAGGAAAAAGGACCTGACTGGAAATCAGCTGGATTGTCTTCTCAGCTTTCTAATGTGACCACCACAAAACCTGTTTATCTTACTCCTAATTCTTTCTCTTGCTAGTCCCTATTTTCTTCTTGGATTTTTATCACCTCAAACCACCAAGTTTCAATACTTTAGATTGAGATTTTCTGGTCTTGCATCTCTACGTGTTGCTGCTGTAAAAACAAAAATTTTTTACATCATGTATGCCAAAAGTAAGGGTCAGAGAAGTTATGTACCCTGGCCAAGACCTAAGAGAAAAGCTTACATTTCTTGATTCCTAGTGTTGTAATTTTTTTTCCCCCAAAATTCTTTTCCAAAGCATGCCCTAACAGTACCTTACACAAGTGTAACTCAAGCTCTATGTGATTAATAATTCACATTTTGTGCTAAAAGCAAATCAGAGTTAATTTTGTATATTTTCCTTCCACCGTTTAATACATTAGTTTCCCCATAAAGGAGACTCTATATTGCCTAGCATACAATGACTCATGCGTTATATAAGTAACTGAATCATTTTATAGTTTACAGAGAAGAATGTTCTTGCTCATTATGTGGATGAAAGGAGATTGCTGCATTTCAAATGACATGTATAATTTAGGCACTTATTTCCAGGACTGCTTGGAACAGGGAATGAAGAGAAACTAAATTGTTTGAAGTGACTTGAGTGCTTCGTAGTTTTTAATGTGACTAGCAAAATACACAGACCGATAACTTTTAAGACTGTGCTAATGGAAGAATGGCTCTGAAACTCTAACACACTTTTTTTTTTCTTCCTAATAACAGTATTTATTTTAAGACATAAGTAGAAACTAGTATTTGTCAGTCTGTAAAAATCTGCAAAGGTCTCATATTTTTTCTGCCGGTAGTTACCTGCTGTGCCACCAAACTGGAAATGGGAATGGGAAACTATTTCAGAAAGATAAGCCAGCTGGTAAGGAAAATGGCATGCCTGCTGCACTTGACTGTTGTTGGGAGATTTTTTTCCTCAGCCTTCTAAATGTTAGACCTTAACTACAAAATAAGAGCATGGAATATTCTGTATTTCAACAGTGCAGAGTTTATTCAAGTGAGAATTCAATAACATCATCGTGGCTGTGTATTGGGAAATATTTATTTAGTTGTGTTCTTTTTAGAGTATTATGGTAAGCTAAATGAAACACAATTTCTGGAATTTTGAATCTGAACCACTCCCAAATGCTACCATGTTCTGCAAATTATCTTCACAAACTTATGTACTTACATGCTTTGGTGAACATGGGTTTTATTTAGAATGCAGAATTCTGATTCTATGTTCTAGCTCAGTCCCATTGATTTAATTATTTATTTTAAATTTAACAAGACGGCAGTCTCTGTGTTTCATGGACTGCTCTCGGTGGCAGCTAGATTTGTGTATTTCTCCAGCAAATTGGGCCAGCGTTTTCTGAGATTTGTGAATCTTGTAAGCAAATGTAGCGGTTAGATACCTCTGAGCAATGACAATGTGGCAGGCTTACGTCCTAAGTTTTGAACCCCCTGTAGAAATTAAGATGACATCTATGCCTTGTAAAAATCTCTCAAAACTGTTGCATTATTTATTTATATTCTGCTTCAAGGACAACACTTTTCAAGCCAAGAGATGACACGAAGGAGCCCTGGGCTGTATAAATATAGAATCTTTTTATTTTTTTGGTTAATAGATACAGTACAATTTTTAACTACATAAGAAAGCGTTGTTTTCAGTGCATACATTCTTCAGACAGACAGGAACAGGGCAGACAAACATTCCTTAGTGTTTTGAGTACTACATGGCACTTAGTTTATTTTCTTTAAGTCCCTAGTTACTGGGTTTTCCCAGTTTTCATTAGCTGCTTTGACAACTCAAGGTCTAAGCAAAAATGAATTGAGTAATAAGGATGTGCTGACTCTCGTGGCACAGGATTATTAGGCAGGACAATGGGACACTGCTCAGTGCATATCACACTAGTCTTCCTGTAACCACGGCCCTTATGGCATCATATTTGCTTGGGGTCCCAAATGACCCAGTCCAGCAAGTTTTCTCTTCTATGTTAACACAATATGAAAACAACATGGGTGTCAGACAAACTAGCCAGTGCTTGGGCTCAATGCTTACATCCTAAACAGTGACTGACTCTTGATAGGGTCAAATCCAGAAGTCCTCCCTGAATTTTACTTGTGTAAGATGCTGCTGGTGTTGTTACTTTGGTAAAATTCTTTCTGTGTTTGTGTGTTTTTTTTTTTTTTTTGTGGTGTAGTATAAAAACAGGAAAATAGATCTCAGGGATTGGCCATTGCTATTTGTAGGGAGGGACAAAAGAATTACTGCTACCTTCTGTATTTTCCATTCACTTTATGATAAGAAAAAATTATAGGTTGATCTCTGAGTATGATACTGATCCTGGCTGACTCCTGTGTTCAGGAAAACCCAATAATGCTTCATCTTGTTATGTAGCTATTTGCTAGTGATGTTTCCCTGCAAACATCTCCCGGTGTTGTCCAGTTGGTGCTGGTGGGAACTAGAGACCATTGACCCAAGATCACACCCTTGCAGCTGGAATAGGGCCAGACCAAGTTTGTAAAGCAAGATAGGACATGACAAGGCAGTGCCAATGCTCAGCGTGAAGGATCATTGAGAAGATAAGTCATAAACTGTTGACTGGCCAGTTACAGGCTTAGATGCCGACTAACGTTCCTACAGTATTGCAAGAGCGTAACTACAAAGAGAGAAGTGCCTGGACACTCGAGGTCATCCTGGGCATTTACCAAGCAGACGAACTTGAAGAGTAGTGTTTGTATTAGTGGGATGTCTTAAGCAGAGCAGCTTATGCCTGCAGGCAGCCTTAAATGTATACATCTTCAGCATTCAGCGGGTTCAAATTTCAGTGGCTTTATTTGAGACTATTACTCAGACTTTAGGTTTTTATCTGACCTTCCTTGGTATCCTGAGTAGATGGTGTGGGTCCAGCATCCTGGTTAGGATGCCCTTCTTGTGAGGATAACTTGGAAGAACCTAAGAGAAACCTCATTGTTGGAGAAAGATGAAAGTCACAGAGATAGTCACCAACCTTTGTTTTGCTGCAGATACCACATACTGAAAAATCAATAGATTAAAAAGCTTCTCTCATTCAGGGAAGGATACAGAAAGGCTTCCAGACAAACCAATATAAACTAGTTTCCCTTGCCTATATTGGAAAATCTTTAATGTGAAAAAAGCTTGCTTTAGATTATCTAGTTCGGCCTCTGCAAGAGCAGAATATACAGGAAATAGCAGTGAAATGAGTCCTATACCTGATCTTATTCAAAAGGCAGAGAAAAGCAATCCAAAGGGACTGTGAAGAACAAATACCAAGAAATAGATGAAAAGAGGAGATAGGAAACCAGATTGTTAAAAACACCAGCCTGAACAATAACATGCAGGTGAAGGCACTTATCCTTGGACACCTACGTGGCAGGTGATTGTTGGAGAGAAGTCAACACATTTCTGTGCTGAGCTCCGAGTTCCTTTGCCCCAGTTCTCTGGGGTTGCAAGAGGACAAAAACAGTAGGAGTAAGCACCGTTAAAGAAAACAAAGGTACGTGTTAATACCAGATACCATTGAGCTCAGTCAGGTTAGATAAAGCAGGTGGCTGACAGGAGTTGAATAAGAATCCCTGAGAAGTCTGAAAAAATAATAAACATCACATCATTTAAACAATTTGGCCTCTTCTGATCCTCTAGCCAATACACCAGCCTTGAGTTAAAACAGAGGCAGTGAAAATTCCTTGCCTTTACCTTGAGCTGCGTGGTGACACTTCCAGGAATGAGTTAAACCTGCCAGATTCCTCCAGATCCCTGTTTCCTAACTGAAACTAAATAACGTGGAGAATAAGTGAGAGCCAGAGATACTCGCAGCCAAGAGGAGAACTGCTATGAAATGGCGCTAGTAGGGTACTGTAAACTGGAGCCTGGCCTGCAAGCATTAGTGAAATGTTTAGTAACAATACTTAACTCTGTTATGTCTGGGTATCTCTTTCTCTTTTGACTAAAATGTTACAAATTTTACCATATAAATGAATCACTATATTTGTTTCTACTGAGTAAACTATATACATCATTGTAAGAAAAGAACAATAATTAAATTAGGGGAGGAGAGAAAAGGACAAACAAAATATTAGTAAATAAAATAGAAGACATGTTCAATAATACTTTTCAGGCAATACTTTTGCTTGTTACATTTACTATAAGGAGGAAAAAAATCTTCCACTCAGAATAAACATTGGAAACACAGCTGCCCAAACATCAGTCATTCGCCATTTCCAGAACACTTGAAGGCCATTATTGCGTGTTCAGAGGGTATCTTCGCTCTCTGAAGAAATGGGCATCGATACTGCTCAAGACGGCTGTTGATTTTTGCCACTGCAGAGGAGCCCCCAGTGTTCGGGGGGGCTGTCAATGCAAGCAGTGTTTTAAAACGTCTTGAGCACTTGAGCCTGCGCTCTGTTTTCACATCATCTCACGCGATGCAGAAAGGCTGATACATGTTACTGAGAGCCAGAAAGGGACCTGGCTACCAGCGCTCCGTTAGAGTGTCCGCCTGGGTCCCGCTCAGGGAACATGCTTCATGTTCCTCTGGTCCCAGAGAAACCTCTACAGTTCATCCTTGATAAAGTGGAAAGATGATATACTCGGCGCTCTCAGAAGCAGACAGTTCACGCAGCAGTGTTACCCATTCTTTTTCGAAATAGAGAGCATATTTGCAGGTGTTTTCCCCTAGATGTACTTATTTTAAAGTTTATAAGCAAAGTTTTTCAAACATTGTCATTTTTCTTACAGAACAAGGCACAATAACAAACCGTCTCACACTGATGCCATTAACTGTAGAGCCAGACAAACTGTCTGCACCTTTTTTCTTTTTGCCACGTGAATAAATTATTTCCAAAAGAAGTGATTGATTATTTGATCAGAGCTATAAAATTTACTGTTTGATGAAAAACCGATCCCATGAGCTTTTTGGGGCTCATCAGATGAATTTTTTCCCAGTAGTTTCTTCTGTTATATAGGCAGCTCTACTTAATACATAGGTACTAAAATACATAGAAGTGCAAAAATGACCATAAAGCAACTACAGACCACAGCTATCTAGCAGGTCCTTTATGAACAAGGGGCTCGTGCGTTACTGCAGGTGATTTCCTTAATACATCGAATCTGAAGTCAAGGAGAACGAGAAGTGCAGTTCCCCAGAGCCCGTACTTCAGATGCTTTAGCATTCACAGTTAACGTGGTATGGGGTTTGGAGATTGGTTTCCCCCTTTGATAATACCTGAGGCTTGTTTGTGTTTACTTCAACGTAACCAACTGTAACCGATCATCCAGAAATGTTTTCTTCACTGCTGCGAGGGTGTTTAGGCTGTCTTTGCCAAGGTAATATAATTGTTTTGCAAGTGTTGGATTTTTTTTTCCCCCCCTTTAGTTTGTAATCATGAAGAAAAATTCTTTTTCTGTGAAGAAGTCAAATCAGTGTCAAGTCTAAGAAGAAAAGGAAAGGGTTGTGCAGACCTTGGAAGAAACTGCAGTGTCTCATTTATAGATCCAGGCTTATAACTTAAGAGGTTATAGCCCTGACTGTCAATGAACATCTTTCTCATCCTTGCTTCTTATACTTGCAACCTAGATGCTTCTTCCCTTCCTAGATTTCTAAAGTCCGCTCTGCTTGTTACACAGCACGTTAAATGACAAGGATTATTTGCTTATTTTTGAAGTTGTGCGTATGCATGGGGTATGCATGGGACCTGGGTATACATACTTGCAGACCAACAATCCCTGCCACACACAGCTTTTGAGCTTGGGGCAATGCACTTTGAATTTCTCAAATGTGAGAATTTGTGATCCGTTCAGTCCTGCATAAATAGGCTGCAAAAAAAGAATTTTGAATTACCATGAACCCATGAAGGGTTTAGATGCAGAGGGCATTGCGTATCATACTAATATTTACCTTGGCAAGACAGTCAGAGACAAGTATGTGTCACATATGCTTACAGTTTAGCATGGGCTAGTATTCCCAGGATCAAACTGTTGGGCATCTGCCACAGAATCCAAAGGAAATACTTTTTTTTTTCTTTTTAGTAAATAGCCTGTGTGCAGAAAAGAAACATAAAAATGCTGCTACCCTGCTGGTGCCTCAAGGGTATATGTGCGTTTATGTGTAACTCATGTTGTTAATGAGTATTTTATGCACATTCACACAAACATGTGCATGTGCGCAGGGAAATTCTGTCTATTTAAGCTTAAGAAGGTTCTTATTTAAGGCAGTGATTTTGCCTTGCAATCATTACAGATGCATCTCCATCAAAGTTCCCTACTGCATGTATGCTAAATAAATTGCTGTTTGGACAAGCAGAAAAGACAAGGAGACGGATTTAACCACATTGTATGCCCTGATGGCCCAAAAGACCAGCCTGCCTCTTGATACACAAGTACTATCTGCTTTCTCTGTGCCATATCATTTTTAGGAGTGTATCCTATAGGCAGTGGAAATTATTAAATCACAAATTGTAACCAAAATATTTTGGATTTCAAAATATTTCAGAAATATTTACGGTAGGTGAGATCCCAAGTTAAGAACGATGTTTCAATTTTGGATTTTCTCCAAAAGCAAAACGTTAGTGTGTATGGCTGTTGTTTTCAACTGATCCCGTACAGCATCGTACTAAACAATCCCTGCGGGATGTGTGCAGGACCAGTAGAATTAATCTTGTTTTCGCAACTAGCTTGACATGACTCTTGGTGACTCTTATGGAGTAAAATGTGAATGAAGGAACTTGTAAATCTGCGAATGCCAATAAGCAGTCCCAGCTAGGGGAGGAAGGAGTGGAAGCAGTTCTGGGTTGCGGCTCCTACTTACGATTCCGACAGACAGAATTTTAATTTACTGCATATGTTGCAATAGGCCTTTAAAGATAGCAAAGAAGATGCTCTTTAAATGTTTCTATTCACATCAGAGATGTGCCAGAAGAAACACGTGAACCAGTGTCCTGTCAGATTTCCCTTCCGTTTTTACCCAGTCTCTTTATCCAGGCATGGAGGCATGTAAGAATCTAGCATGGTTAAGAGAGGTGCAAGATGCCCTGTGTCAGGTTGGGCTGATTACACTGGAGGGGCTGAGTAGTGAATGACGGAGTTGTAATCTGGAGGTGGGCTGTGGCATTCCAGGTTTGGATCCATAGGAAGGAGAACAGAGTCTTCCAGTGTGAAGTCCATGGTGTCCTCTTCTGCCTGTACTGCTGGCTGGTATTTGACAGCCTCACGCTCATGATCAGATAATATGGATTCTTTGCTCTTGCTAACAGCTCTCCGCCTGTTGAGAACAAACAGTATAATATATCGACCCTGTCTCCATAAGGTTTTGTCTCTATGTGTTATTAATGGTCAAAATTTTTTTTTTTAAAAACAAATATATGAAGCATTTCAGTTTACCTTTGCAGCATCCTGTAAGACAGCGACATTTTACAGATTGGATAAGGGAACTGAATTACGTATTTCAAATAACTCAGTGTTTTAAAAGTCGATGTAGGAGTAAATCCAGGAGTCCTGTTGCCCTGTCTTTTTAGCTTACCGCATTTCAGTGCACTATATATATATCTTAATTATAAATGCACCTGTCCTATACATACAACAATATTCTCTCATTGTTCTGACACAGGTCAGTAGAAATTTGACTTTTTTGAAAGCAGAACTGAAGGCTATGACTTTAAGTATGATAAAGGATAAAATAATGAATAATCTATGACAGACTCTAACTTAAAATGATACTGAAAGCAAGAGTGTGTGTTGGACACACTCGTGCAGTGTAGAGCAAAATCTTTCTTATATTCTCTAGCCCTTTAAAATTACTGAGCAGTATGCTAGTGAAGGGCAGCGCTTTTCAACATTACAACTGCTGGCTTGTAACTGATGCTATTAATGAGAGCCAGCTTTCATTTTCTGCTGTCTTCTCTTATTATAGGTGATGAAGGTGGTGGGAGAGAAGCAACTTGCATGACGTGGAGCAACCTCAATGTTAAAAGTAGGAGAACCCTGGAGAGGATTTGTATCGCAAGGTGACCTTGAGGAATGCAAGTGTTGTGGAGGAAAAAAAAAAGGTACTTTCTGTCGTAGGCTGCCTTAAAAATAATGTTTTGTTAAGCCTGGTTTCTTCCATCTGAGGAATTCATTGGAAGAGGTCTGGATAACTTAAGGTTGGTTCTCAAAAGGATCCCAATGTGAGAATGGCTTTTGAACTCTCCACTTTGCTTAGGGACCCTTTAACACGCATCTCTCTGGAATAAGCCTCACTCACAGACTGATTATGGCATTGCTCGTGTCTCAGTTCAGAATGACTTATGAATGTGCCTGGGAGAATTTAAAATCAGGCAGTGCTCAAGCACTTTGTGTGTATATTTCATATGCGTTTAAAGGAGCATAAAGCTACATTCTAATGACCCTAAACCAAATCCGAATAATCAACAGTTCATCAAATAATTGCATAATTCATTACACTTATTTTATTTGTACTGCTGCAGTGCTTATAGTCCCCAGTAGTTGATCAGGGATTCAGAGTGTGGTGCTTTAGAAAGAAAGCGAAGCCCGTCCCTGCTCCAGGAAACAAAAAAATAGCTAAGAGACAGATACAGTAATTGGAGGAAGGGGAACAAAAATCATGAATAGGGTGTTGTGGAGGACCAAGACACCAACTGTTCCAAGACACCAACTGTGTGTGCTGTTATGTTGCAGGCTTAAGAGCAGGTTGATGCTTGGCATGACAGAATTGTAATATAGAGTAGGCCCAGCTCCTTTCAGCTATGAAAGGGTAAATATGTCCTGCTAGATTGTGCTACTATAACTTTAGAAGTTGTGTTATCTTGCCTCTGAATCTGGAACCTGTCAAAAGCTTCAGTTTTCCCACAAGCTGCAGATATTCTCAGTCTGGCTGACAGAACTAGTGTCAGTATCTTCACTTAAAATTTTTGCTAATTCTGGAAAGGTCCTGAGTGTGCAGTGCATTGGCTAGAGTAGAACACTGGTTTATGATCTGTGCGCAACCACCCTGAACAGCCTGTAGGGTCCATCTGTAAATTATCGATCCCTGTAGTTCTCTTCTTGGGGGAGTGTGTGGAGTAGGTGATACTCTGTATATCGTAGTCCGTAAAGCCGTTCTAAGCCAGGAGCTGAGATGTTCAGCCGAATTCAGACATAACAAACAGCTGCAACTCTAATCAGCTGCGGTCTGATCAGACTGGCTGCTTCAGAGTTGGCCTGATTTTAGCGTGCTGTGATGGCTTTCCACAGCATGTTTGCATCTCCAGCTTTGTCTCTAGGAAGTGAACCCAGGACCCCTGACGTGTAAGAGCCGGCCCACCATGTCTTGCACATCTAGAATAAACTTGGGTTCTGTGACTTCTAAAATGGAAAGGCAGAGATTATAGATTAAAGCTAATGTTACTGTGCTTTTAGACCTGCACAAGGCATTGAAACCAAACCTGTTGAGTGGCAAAGCAGAAATTCTAAAATAAATAGTAACCCTGAGAACTTCAACAAAAATGTAGCGCACACTGCTTTCACAATCCAAGTTTTTCCTCTTTGTCCAGAGAAAAACGCGAGTGGAAAACTTCTTCTGTATACTATACATTTGGCAGCCGTCCCTTTCTATACACACACGCTTTCTCTGTAGATAAATTCTTCCCTGGCATGAGCAATGGAACCACAACTTTGCTTCACTGTTTATTTATGTATTTTTCTTTTTGTTGCTCAGTTCTATTGACTCGTGTCAGACAATTCCATGGATGCTCTGGCTTCTAATTTGCCAGGTATTAAAGTTGTCAGCGGAGACAGAGAGAAGCTTGAAAGTATCTGTTTAACTTGGCCCCCAGCCTGCATAACTCAGAGTGCTGGAGAAAAAGAAATGTTATTAGGGTTTAGTTTGGCCACACAATGGGAAATTTTCAGACCCACATAGACTCCCAGCAAGTGTTCTTGTTAGGCTTCTGCCCCTGTAGGTCAGGAGACTGGATATCTGGGAATAACTCTGCCCATCGCTGAAATCATGCTGGTGTTTGAAGAAGGACTCTTAAATGCTGACATCTAATATTTGCTCTGAAGACAGAAAGCTGATGAGTTAGGTCAGAAGCAAGTTTTGTCATTAGCTGTCTTATGGCAGACCAAAATGCAATTAACTTTCAAAACTATTCCTTTCATCTAAATGCATTTCCTAAATTAAAGCTATCCAAGGGTCTTTGCGTTTTTCCTTTTAATGCTCTATATTACTGACACTTCAATCTACTCTGTTCATGCCCGGCAACAGAGAAATGTACATATGCTTGGACGGTATATTGGAAAATGAGACTGCAGCATCCCTTTTCTGTCTGTCCTTGAAATCTCATTTGCTACATAGAAACTGCCACACTGAATCAGACATCAGTCTTGCCTCGGGCAGTGGTCAGTACTTGATGCTTCAGAGGAAAGCAAAAACCCCTTTATGCTCTGAGCCAATTGTACTACCCTGTATAAAATAGAAAAATTCTCCCCGAGCCCCACCGATGAACGTTTTCTGACTGAAGGCATTAGATTTGATTAATCACGCAATTATGCAGCTACAGAAGTTAATAATGGTTATGTAATTAAATAATTTCATTAAAAGCTTGCCATTGCTTGGTTCGGTGTTTTTCCTGGGTTGCCATTACACTGCCCCGAAAGGTATTTCCTTACTGATTTTGCCTCTGCCTGACTTCTGAGTGCTGCAGCTGCAGGAGGCAATAAAAGAGATGTGCAGTTTTGATAAATCTGCTCATAACTGTGGATGTCTCAGCCCAGTCCCACTTGCCTGGGAGTATTCTCACCACGGCACAATACTGAAGATTAGGTGTGTGAATACCATGACATTCAGCTGGAACACATTTGCTCACTGACCCAAGCTGGTCACGTTTTACACAATGACCAACCTGAAAACTCGTTTGTCCTTGCAAGAATGTGTACCGTTTGGAGCAGGATAAGGGGAAAGATGAGAATCTGAACACTGCCATTTCCTGACCTCAAGCAGATTTTGTAACCTAAAGGACCCTCTTTCATAATGTGCATGTTTCTGTGGAGTGCTGGTTGGGGAAACGTGTTTCGCAGAACGTGGTGAGCTGCCTTCAGCCTCGTTTCATAGGCTGAGACTGGAGTTAGCCAAGGCACAGCACTGGGCTCCTCTCTTTCAGAAAGATACCTACAAGCTAGGGAGGTTTATGGGGGGGAAGTACAAAAGTGTTGACAGCACCGGAGGAACCAATACTAGAAGATTGGAAGAATGCAAATCGGTAGCAGCAAATCTACTAAGAGTGTGATATTCATAATCACCAGCAAATCCTGTTACTCTTCAGGCTGTATTTCTATAGTGTCCCTGAGCCCGGTGCCAGTGTCAAGTCTGCTAGATGTAAAACCAAATGAGGTGGAGGAACCTGCTGGTGTGGACCCAGTGTTGATAACTGAAAGCCGGCCACGTCTGTAAATAGGACTGTATCAAGCAGCCTGCTTATCACAGAGCTTGGGCTCTATGCTACTGCATGCACGTGTAGCGTGTCTGTGTGGGGCCACAATATAGTTAGTAGGTCTCATGACCCAGACACAAGCTTGGACAAGTGCATTTTAGTGTGGTACTGTGGGTAGTGAGAGCTGTTAACAGTTCCCATTTTTACTGTGCTATGTCAGATTTCCTGGTACAGATGAAGCTGAGAAGTCTAGGAATTAAGCTAGGTGAAGGAAAAGTTAGCCTGAATATTAAGTAATCTTTCACAATCTTTTTTAAGTTTTCTGGAGACGTGTCAAAGTTGTTTAGAAGGTACCACAAAGGATAATCCTGTAATAGCTAGAAGGCCTAAAAGACCTAATGAGACTTTTTCATCCTACCGCATGAACCAGAGATTTTGGTTAGAGGTAGAAAAATACTGAAATCATCAAAGAGCTGGGAAATCATTACTGGAGCTGTTTATTTTATGTGAGAGGGAGCCACTTTCTATTAGCCTAAATCTCAGGGTCAGTGACTTGAAGAGGAGCATGGAGAAAGAGAGATGACTGTAAGAAAATCACCCTATCCAGTGAGGGACTACAGTACCAAGTGTAGCACTTATTCCCAGGGCTGTGGAGCAGCTCTTATTGCTTTGCAATAAGACGCCCAAGTATCTTGCCCTCAATAGGGAAAACTAATAGACTATTGTGTCCATGTAGAAATCCGGGCCTTGGTCAGAAGCTGTGTTTAGGGAAAGATGAGAAATTGGACTGAGCGTTGCCAAGCAGAGCAGTTTGTCTCATGTCTGCATCTCATAATAACATGTAGGAGCTTCAGGGCTTTACAATAGCTTTCATAGGTGTTTAATGAGGCACAGAGTGATTAATTTTTTAATTTTTTTCTGCAATGAAAGAAATAAAAGGGTTATTTTTTCTTCTGATAGTTATGACTGATTCAGAGTTTGCTTTAATACATTTTAGACAGGGTGCTGTGCAGAAAGAATTTAATCCTGGGTTCCCCTCTGGCAGTATCAGCGCATCAGTAGTCTACTGGCACGGAGAACTCAAGGGATTAGGATCAAGAATTCATTGTTTTGAAACACTTCTAAGCACAAAGTACAGCTAGCATAAAATTTTAACAGGCCAAAGTCACCCACTTGTTAAGTATGCATCCCATTGCATGCGTGGCAAAATGGTCAGCGGTCCCTGACACTAGCTCCAGCACTCAGAATGCAGTGAGATGAAAAGCACTGCAGTCAAGACCAAGCTGGGGACCACAGCCTTTCACAATTCTCCCTTTAGTCCTTGCCACTGTAAGCATATAGTATAATCCTAGAAAAAAGTGGCTTACATAACTCCCGAGTAGCTACTCATTCAAAGTTACTTACATTTTGGAGAGCTCAAGTCAGGTCATAGTGCAAGGTGCTGCATGACACAACAGTAAGTTCATGCGCTATCTCAGCACGCTCATCACAGAAGAAAAATCTTCTGAAACTAAGCTCTGCTATGAAGCAAACATATTTCCATGCCTCGTTTTTCTGAGATGGTGCAAAAGGATTCTAGACCAGTCAGCGGGGTTGCGTTTTTGGTGGGCACCTTGCATTTGGACATGAATGCCCGATGCTCCTGAGCAAAATCAGTTTGTTTCAATATTATTGACTTGCCTTAGGCCCAGTTTGGCTTTGGCAAAGGCAGAGCCCTCAGTGATGTGATCTGGATGCAGCATCCAGAGCCTAGAGTGTATCAGCTGAGCCTCAGTCAGCTGGTGTCATGGGACTTGGCCAGAACCGGATAAGTAATTTCAGAGCAAATGAGGATAATGGGGTTGGGGGGGCGGGAAGGGAAAGGGATGGAGGGAGGACAACTGAGCAGATATCAAACCTATTATAATTTTAAACAATAACTCGATTATAGAGTCTCTGGGAGAATTTTAAAGCAGTGCTTGGCAGTAGCCTGTTAATATTATGAGATGAAACCTGACGCCAGAGCCATCCCATCATTAAATCCCCTCTGTGTTGAATGCGCGTCCTTGAATGCTGACTCCAGTGTCATTATCCCATTTCTGTCCCTCACTACAGCTACTCTTGTGGCTTTATACTTTAGCAGTATAAAATGCTTAGAGCTCAGAAATGGTTAGTCCAGTCTAACAGTGGTCCCAGGCCCGGAGTATCAGATTCATCTTCAATAAACTCTTGACACTGACACTCCATGGTGTGCAGTGTTGCCAAATTTTAAACTTGACAGAGAAACGAATGCAAGATAAATAAACAGCAAGATTTTGGCAAAAATAATAAATGCAGCCACCCTGGTTTAGAAAACATGCTAAGCCTTTGAACAGTTTTGTTTTAGAAAAGGAGGACTGTTTGAAAGGGATCCAGGGTAAATGTTTTTGGTAGAGAGAGATACACAATTAACAAGGGTGACTTTATCTCCCCTATTAAACCAGCACTCTCTTCTGACCTTTCCTAGACTATTCTATATGCTTTTGAGGCTTGTTTTTCAAGTTAGTAGTGCAGGAGCGCCAAGGGTTGTCATGTCCTCAAATGAGAGGGCATCAGGATGCTCTGCGACTATGTAAAAAATGTTATTTGTGCCAATGATAGTCTGCAAGATTAAAAAAAAAAAGAAGCTGACAAAATAGCCTTCTCAGCTGGACCTCAAACACTCGATGAAGGATGTGGCCAAGAAAAAAGACACTTCTGTCCATTCAATGGTAGCTAGGGTCCTGGGAATAAGGAGACAACAAACACAGCTTGCTGCGGGGTTTGCTTTTATAGCAGACCTCTGTTAAGATGGTCTTTCGTGGCCTGGCTGGCACAGAAAGTATCAGGTATCTACGATGAATGGAATCCCTATGGAAATGTTGACTGTAAATGGGGAGAGCCCCAGATGGTGTGGGTCAGGCAGAGATTCACTGAACCCGGCAGAGCCGTGTTACTTCACGTTCGCTCTCAGTGGGCCTGATTGATAGCAGTTCAGAAGGTTTTCCTGGAAATCTCAAAAGAACAGGTTGTTATGGAATTTTTGTGTTTCTACATCTGGCTGGATGTTGATTTTTCTGATTTTCAGCAGAAAGCCTGGAAGGGGGAGAGAGAGAACCTTCCTGTGCCAACTATTTATCCAAAGGGGGGAAATGCAGTAGGGGAAACAGCAGTCAGAGGTGATTGACAGAAATCTTTAGAAGGATAAATCCTATCAGGGAGGCTGTGTGTGTGTCTATGTGTTGGATTTATGTCAACACGACATCATGCAGAAAAGAGAGGTAAATCAGCCCAGGTAAAGCATCATAGTCATGCAGTTCCTGACATTTGAGCTCCTTTTTTTAGAGCTGGTGCCATTTGGTCTCCATAGCAATGCACTGTGCTGTGCAGAAATCCTCTCAGCATGTGCATAGGATAAAAATATGGAACCGTATCTAGATATCTGCTAATCCCCCAACAGGTACAACACTGGGACAGTACTACGGGGGAAATACTGCTGAACAACATTATTCCTGAAGTCACACTCGAATCCAGCAGGATCTGTAGCATTTGAATGCTCCCTGTTAGTGCTGTGAGGTGCTCTAGCCTTCCTTGCGTAACCTTTTCCCTTTTCCTCTTTCTCCTCCTCTCTTGCCTTCAAACATCTAGGAATTTATGGTTTTAAGGCCTGAAAAGGCAAGGCAAGCCCCTTCCGTCTTGCTTTTCTCTCTGAGTGAGGGAGTTAACCCCTCTGAAATACTGTTAGATTCTGCACCCTCATGTGAACTCTCCCATACGATGCAGAAATCGCACTAGTTTTTTCTCATCTATCATTTCTCTTTAATGTAGAAAAATAGTGACTTGATGTAGAACAAGCAGTTGCTCTGGTGGGAAAGATCATTGAGTTTAATACAGAGGAAACTAACAGAAATCTCATCAATAGATTTCAGAGAAAACTCTAGGCAATAATTCAGTAAAAGTCTAATTAGCTTTATTAACTGAATAGACATGGAATTCCTTGCTACAGAATTGTTTCTTTTTTAATATTTTGGGTAGCTGTTCTTTGAAATTCTACAAGTTGACGTTTGAATCAGTAAAATGGGTTACTATTGTTGTTACCCTTTTCTAGGAGGGTGGAGAAGACCTATTTCACTACTAGGTCAACTCTCTGCCTGTGCCCGATTGTTACGGAAATACAAAGAACTGTGAGCTAACTGTTAGCTAAAAGCTAAATATCTGCTTTTATTCTTCTGTGATTGTCCGTACTATGAATGGATAAACATACAGCAAACACTGGCACAGCCTCTATTTGTAAACCAAATATGAACAATCTAATTCATAGGATCGTGAAGGTGGTAGGATTAAGGGACTTCTCTGTAGGACTGTCTTCATAGCTATGATAAACCAAAGGTAGAAATCACGGCTCTGGTAAATGTACTTGCTTTGCAGTGCTTACACTATCATTTACTACACATGCCGCCTTAACTTTTCTCACGTCCCATCAATTGCAAAGGTGCCAGTCCATCTGTATGTCTAAAGTTAAACACAGCTTTGTTAGATACTGGTATAATTATAACTCTCATTTTCTGGATTAATAAATGAAGTTCTTTAAACTTTGTTCCATCAGTAAATGAGAACACTGGAGAGGCAGTCAAGAAACAGCTAAAGTAGATATGTATATTCTCAGCTCTTTTGCTCCTGTCATTTACCATGTGCAGAATATTCTGCCCTGGGAGATCAGATCATGAACAGGAGACACCAGCTTCACTAGAGAGCGCTCTCTTGTTTTTCTGAACGTGATTCAGAATGACAAGGCAACTTGGCATTTTGGAAGAAGAGTTAAATCGCTTGACAAGACATTATGTGCTCAAAGCTGATGAAATGAGTTTTCATTTTTATCACATGAATCAACATTTTTCATGTTAATTAACCTTACTGTAACTTAAATGCAACAGTGCAGCATTCCTTTCAGAGACCTGCAACTCTGTTTTATTTTCAACTTCTTTCTGGAAGCAAAGTTTACATTATAACTTTCTTGAGCATAAAACACATTAACCGTGGTCTTTCAGTTATAATACTGAAGTACAGAGTTGATTCTCCTTCTAGCTTGTTTAGATAGTCTACCAGTTTTCCTTTTGGAATCAGAAACAAAATTGCAAATTTTAGAAGCATTTTTCTGAATGGGACACGGTCTTCAAAAGAAATATCCAAAAGTACTCACGCTAGAGCCATGATCCCATAAGGCCAAGAACGGATTTCCAGCCTCTTCGGGCTTTTTATCTCATCTGACGTCAACACCATCCCACTGTCCGACTCCTGAGTAGCAAAAGGAAGAGAACATCAGCAGAGTGCCAAACGATCGTGACAGCATAGGGCACTTTTAAATTAAAAATGGCTTGCCACAGGGAGAGTGTGGAGAAGAGTCAGACTAAGCCACTATTAAAGTCAGTAGAGAAAGAAAGCCAAGGAGCTAGTGAGAATACCAAATTCCAGCTATCTTATTTCGTGATGATATCACTTTTAGGCAAGTTGATAGAACTTCACCTTATAAAACTGTCTCCAGCTACAGAGCAGACAAAGCTAGGGCAGGGGAATGCAACTTCTCCTTCACTGTGGCCGTAGAGGTTGGGGCTCCCTGTCTATGCAGTTATCAGGGAGAGGCTGCCAACAAGGTGGCCATCTGTAGATGTTATATTGTGGTGTTATATACATGAATTATATATAATTCATGAGCTTATGCACTGGAACTAACCAGCTAGTCTGTTTAATTGCAAGATTCCAGCCAACAACCTCGAGGGCAAATGTTTGCATCAAACCTCTCAATTGTGTGCTATTTAGTAAAGTGCTTAACACAGGTATGTCCAGTCGGTGTGTGAAATTAAGCCCATTCTTCAGAATATTCTCTTATCAGGGCCTATATTATCAGTTTTTATCCAATTGTTCCTGATAATGCTGCTATTTAGCCTGAGAACATTTGCCTTGTGTTTTTGTGATGATAAAATTTTTGAGCTGCATTTTGAAAGAGCACCCTTAAAATGAACATATCAAAAAATAATTTTACATTTTCAAACTTGAAATTGATATTAAGCATGACATATCCTACCATCTAGGTAGGATAGCTGAGATATGAATGGGCAGAAATTAATAAAGAATATATCCAATAATACTGGCTAGGCTCCTCAGAGAAAAAGTACCCTAAATACCTACCAGAAATACACTACTAGAAACACTGAAATTTTAAGGAAGTGGAAGTTCAGTATCATTTTGGCAAATCCAAGTGCTTTGCAAAGATACATAGCCTAAAAGGCTCATTGTACTTTGGTTATGGATTTTTTTTATGAGCTGTCCAACTAAACTGTCTTTATTAGTTTTAAAGTTGAGGCTGTGATTGCGCTGTGCTTAAAGTTGAGTCTCGAGGTTGCAATTAAAATCAAGCTGTTATTGTGCTAAGTGCCACACAAGTTCACAGACATGTACAGTCCTTGTTTTAAGTAATTTAAAAAAAAAAAATTAAATGTTCTGGGGGGGTTCCTTTGCATTTGAAATATTTTGTGATGCTGGAAAGCTGCATGCCTGTCTGTCTGTCAAAACCAAGAAAGCAAAAGACTTCAACATGGGAAGTGAAACTCTAGTTGGTCTTATTTTACTATTCAAACTGATTGAAACAGAAAAAATAATCCCAGCAAACAACAAATAAAAAGCAAAAGCTTTTTTATAAATGCTTTGGTAATATATCAGTTGTTAATAAGATCGGTCTGGAAACTGTTCTTCAAAGTATAAAGTAAAATCCTGAATTAATTAAGTATGTTAAAAAACTCAGTAGAACCCAGCTTTTCTGTTTTTTATCTTGACTATTTTACCTTAAAATCTGCAGTAAGAAACAATTTATCTGAGTGCTGCTTTGCATCTTGCTTACAGAAAAATTGTTAGAAGAATATCAACAGAGACTACAGATAAGTAGCACAATTGCAGGAAGGCATGGTAGAGCACTTTCAGAGCTCCTGGGCAACTATTTGAAATAATGATCAGTATTAATGTCTTGATATTTAAGATAATTTTGGTAACCCAAGTGCACTTACTTTGTCCAAAAGTAGATCACAGCATAATTTTGCTTTAAAAGATCCTCACTGAAATATCACATTTATTTCTGATGTATTAATGTATTATTACCCTTTTTTGAAACTTTTCCCCCTTCGTGTAAGGACTTACTTTGAAATGCCATGAACAGGGAGCATTTGGGAAAGTAATGCTCATGCTGGCAGCAGTAATCTCTTACTGATACCAGATCTATCTAGTAAATGCCTTTGTGTGATTCGGAGGGACAGACTTTTATCCTGCAAGAGGAAAGATGCGGGAGCCAGAGAAAATTCTAAGCCTTCTAATCCCTAAGATGCACTGATAAAGGCACAGAAATTACATCTGGGAAAATACTAGGGAATAATGGGCATCAATTTGTGCTAACAAGAGAACAGATGAGAAATACGCTGTATTTGTCAGGGACATGAAACATGTCCAGGACAAGTTGCAGCTAGAGACTTGACCCTTCCCAAGAGAGTTGGTCTGAGGAATGGTTCTGCCCAAGAGGGAGTCTTAGCTGGAGCATGGGGGACGGTTCCCTGACTAGCAGAGTAGACAGGTTGGCTTGTTTCTATAAAACTGTACACATCTTTCTTTTGCTGCTCTAGCCATCTGATGCTTGCCCTCTTCCTCTGTTAGAAGGTTTCCTGAGGGCTTCATGCTTCCTCCCTAAACTTCAATCTGCTTCAAACATGCATGCATTACAAAGATCCCTCCTCAGTGGCACCGAATCTGTCACTGAGGCAAGTGGTGTGGACTGCCTATGGCACTGCAGCCAGTGAGTACCTGAACCATAGAGGAAATTCATGAGTCGGGTTGTTTGTATTTTGTTTTTGTTTTAAATAAGGAAGAAAAAAATAGAAAAAAAATCCTCCACCCTTGGAACCTGTAATTTCAGAGGAAGCCAACAAGCAGAACCATCATTCTGTAACAAAACAAGCTTTTGTTTTCCACTGGAGTGAAAACGAAACCGTTCAACACCCTCCCACCCTGCAGTGCCATTAAACTATCAATAAATATGTTCACTTAGGGTGGGGAAAATCCAGGGTTAAAGCCCTCTGTGTGAATCAGGTAGAGCAGGAACTTGAATCTTGGTCTTGTTCATCCGAACTGAATATCCTCACCACCACCAAGTTATTGGCTGTCTCAGCCAGCCAGAATGTGTTCTGGACACATTTCCTTCAAAAGGCTCCATTTCAATGAGCTGCCATTTTCTTATGGGGGAAAAACCATATTGAAACATGTAATATAAAGCCCCTTAGCCTGATCAAAGCCAGGATAATCATGCATGAGCTTCTCTTTAAATTATTTCTTAAACTAAATGCAGGTCCCTCTTTGTTGTCACACAGACCGATGTGTGAGACGCTAGGGCCAAATCTTCTGCTTGATTTAAAGCTTTTTTCGTAACAAACAGATTTCAAAAGCTCTAATAACTGTTTCTGGTGCTGGTGACAAGTGATCTGTGAACCCGGTAGGGAAGGATGCAATCACCTCACTTACCTCATGCATCACTTTCTCCTTTTCCACCGGCACCTCATCAAATGTCTTCACACTCAGTGGTCGCTTCTTGCTGTTGTTACTGAAAGCAAGAAAGTTGAGGGGTCAGCACAAAACCCAAGTAGATGCTGCACCAGTTGGTAGCTCAGTTAACATCCCTGACACAGCTCAGTTTCCTGGACCAGTCTTGTTTTTTCATCTCTTGTAACTAATAAACAATGCCCTGACAAATTTGTCTGTCCAACTCCTTTAAAACAGCCGGATTGAGAGAGGACAACAAACAGTGCCCGGATATATCAAACCTTTCTTTCCCTCCCACCCCCCGTATATATTTTTCTTACCCAGTTTCCACTGCACTCCAGCGATTAACACAGTTGTTCAGGTTTTCTTCCACAGGGCAAGTTTTGGAGTTAGATTCTCCATCAGGACACAAGGTGATGTTCAGTGGAATATAGTCTTTACCATCCTATACAATTAATACCATAAAAGAACACAAAGCTGGTAAACATCATTTTGTACTGCATCTCAGATGTAAAAGGTTATTGTATTCTACAGAGCTTTACACTGAGAAAGGACTAGATTTTATTTTAACTTTATGATGTTTTTTCAAAGTGATTATGATGTTCTTCACTACCTGTGGAAGTTAGAATGTATAGCTTTATCCTACATTTACTGTGTGGGAGGCTTTGTATGAGGAAAATGATTCACTTTGGGAAACCTACGATGTAGCATGGCTGAAAATGGTCTCTAACATTCCAGTACTCATCTGCAGTTAGCATGTTTTCTCTTCTAGGCATCTCAGCCTGAGCTATTGCTTCACTGGTCTTTATAGCAGTTTCAAGACTTCTAAATGTCCCTCACATATGGCACAGCAGTGCGACGGTTGTATTGAGGGTGTCAATATACGAGCATCCAGTTCAAAAGTAGCTGACTTTGCTGACTTTCACAGCAGCATCTTTGAGTTTGCAGCAATTTCTTTGTGATCGTTACTACGTTCCAGATGTGTGGCTGTTCTGCCTCAGTGAAAGTGAACAGAATTTCACTGATCTGCACTTCAGGAAAGCAATCCTCTGTATTGTCATTGCGTTGGCCTCTTTGGGATTTCCAAGGGACCAGTCTCAGGGACACCTAAATCCAAGTTTGAGCCATTTGGGAGAAGGGAGGGAGCGGCACGAAGTCACAAAACTCCTATGGCCAATACGACTTTAACAGATTTTGGAATTGGTAAAAGAATATTGCCTATGCATAGACTTTTTGCTTATGTTTGACTTAAGGAGTTGCAGCTTAGCAAGAGCCAGTCCTTAAAATGGTAGCCTTAAAGGATTTTATTTCTTGTCCTTACAAGAAATTGATGCTGCGAGTTTAATAGAATTCAGTACACATCTTAATAAGCTCTGCGTTGTCATTACTCCCCTGCAGTAATCTTCAGAAATGACTCTTCCTTTAAGTCCTAAAACTATTTGTCCAAATTTCCCTTTGCTTGATTTTTTTTTTTTTTTTTTTTTTATTTTTGAGAAGCGGT